AAACTATTACACTGTACTGTGTGCGCTGCGCTGCCTTCCCTACACTCTGTACAAACAAAAAGTAACAAATAAATGATCTACACGGGCTACATATGTACATGTCCTGTGTAAGTATTAGTTGTGAGTTGTGTGTCACCGAGGACCTCATTCACACGACACGGTTACCATGGTTACACCCGTTGCTGAAGCGACTACCGCCGTACCGGCAGTCGCGATGCTGTCACATACATGACTGTACTATTCATGGTCATACGGCTAGGCTGAGCCATGCCTGGCACCCCTTCCCAGAACTGAACACTCACCTATCAGTATCACATGTACATGTAGAGGCAAGTCGGACACAAGGAATGCTATTTTTAAACGTACAATGAGTTATTTACATACATGTACACACAGTACATCATGATTCATGGTACTAGTAGTACATACACAGCAGTTTTATGTAGCTCCTACTCAACTGTACAATGGAACCTGTCCGTTTACATTGGAAAACTCCAAAATTCCACGTATAAAAAAGGACGAAATTCAGTTCTCAATGGTCGATGCCTACCCCAGCACCATCGGCATCGTGCGTCGACAGTCAGAACTAACTTCGTTACAAGTAAGTACAGTAACTACTCACGTTAATAGTTTACAGTGTTGCTCAATGAAATCCAGTCGCGGCACTCAAGTACACGTCAGACGTTGCGCAGCCCTAGATCAGGCTAGACCTGAGAACACTGTCACTGGGCTGTGGAATGGTGCAAGGCGCAAACTTACTTGAGTGACGTGACTGGATTTCATTGAGCAGCACTATAGTACTTACTAGTACTAATACTAGTTGTACATGCCTTGCAATTGTTAGATTGACAGCAATAACAAGGTTTATCTATTACTGGTTTTTACCAGTAATAGGTTAACCCGGTTATAGTTGTTCATGACTTGTAAGTAAGTTGTAGAAGATGCTGTCAAGTGATAACAAGGTTTATCTATTACTGGTTTTTACCAGTAATAGGTTAACCCGGTTATAGTTGTTCATGACTTGTAAGTAAGTTGTAGAAGATGCTGTCAAGTGTCATACCCGGTGGTAGGTACCCTGGCCTTGGCAGGCCCAAGCGGCCTTGCCCTTTGCCTTGGCCATACCCATTCAAAGGCCATTGTTTGGGAGCAAATGATGCACGGCACTGATGACACTGATGGCGCTGGTCGAGGATGCATGTCATGACGTCTATTGTTCACTGACACCAAACCATTGTCTCAACTAGGTCACTGGCCCATGCACAGTAATGTCAGTATTCTGCTCGACCGCTGTCTAAACCGGTTAATACAATGGTATCTTGCCATTCTTGCAGCTTGATCCTGCGTTCTCGCTTCGTTTGTCAGCTGCATGCAGTGTACAAGTTTAGGGTTTTACGTCGGGCCCTAGACGACGGCTACTTTGGCCAACCGGACAACGAAGAAGTTGTGACCAAAGAGAATGATTTTATTTCTTGCGCATGCGTATGTAGAATGACGTAATACTCAGGGAGTGAGGTCGCTACAGTAAGGCAAAAATATAATAATATGATACATATGTACAAGCGAGAGCGCTGCGTGTATGAAATTTGTTTGAGACGTGGCAACAAAGGCCGAAACAAAATCAAAAATGCAGAAAGCGGAAATGAGAGAGATGCATGACAGAGGCGGTTTAACGTGTCAGAGGTGTGTTAACGTGACAGAGGTGGAGAGCATGTCAGAGGCAGAAAGAAAGAAAAGAGGAAACGTACGCGTGACAGAGGAGTGTTATCATGTCAGAGGCGGAAAGAAAGGAAATGTACGCGTGACAGAGGAGTATTATCATGTCAGAGGCGGCTGCATGTTGCAGGCTTGGCGGGGTACCAGCAGGAGCGCTGCACTGGGGCGAGGCGTGCCGACTGAGGCGGGGACAGATGGAGGCGAGCGCAGCTCCATGGGGTCCGGTGCCGGGCGTGTGCCTGCGTGCGTGCACAGTTGGGCATGGTACGGATGGTGGAGGTGGCCAATTTCCAGCTTGAGGCCAGGACGAATATGGACGACTGGACAATGCCGTGGCAGGATAGCGGGGTATCCAGGTGGGCCGGGGAGGGTGGCAGGGGCCACAGCAGCTCCGAGGCAGATCCAGTGCGAGTGGTGGTGAGGCTCAAGTTTTACGTCAACAGCCGGCGATTGACGGGATCCCGAGAGTTGAGGCGAGCAGGAAACTGCGGCGGGCCGAGCTCAGGGATGGCATGCTCAAAACTCCGAAGAGCGCAGCGTCAGGGGTCACCAATTTAGGGTTTTACGTCGGGCCCTAGACGACGGCTACTTTGGCCAACCGGACAACGAAGAAGTTGTGACCAAAGAGAGTGATTTTATTTCTTGCGCATGCGTATGTAGAATGACGTAATACTCAGGGAGTGAGGTCGCTACACAAGTACAGTAGATATTATTGGTTATAACGTGCCCTTCTGATTTTTCACATTTTATCACTATAATTATTATAGTGATAAAATATAGCCGGTACATTACTACAGGCGATTTTCAACTGCGCGCGTCATACATACACATTATACACGTGTGGGTACTCGATCGCGCTAATGTAGCGTACTGATACATGTACGTGATGGATGCTACTGCACCTTCTCCAGTCTGTAGAGTGAAGAACTTCTTGGCCTAAAGGCATCATCCAGGAAGCACCAGACCAGAATACCCTACGACAACACACATGTGGCTCCAAGTCGAGATATCAATGCCTCACACTCGTGTGTTTCTATCACTATAGACGGTAATTTTTCTGCACAAAGAGATGTTTTGAATGGTGATTCTGTATCCTTATAGCCGATTTATCGCTATATATTATATATTGGTTACATAGCAGACTCAGCGGGGGACGTTCAGGTTGGTTGTAACTCTGAGTTTCATGCCGCTAGGCAATCATCAGACAACTGATATATTGGTTATAATGATAATTTGACAAGCTTTTTCTGGTTTTGCTTTTGATATTTTCATTTTGCATCAATATAGCCGGTTTATCACTATGTCCGATGACTTTATAACCGATATCCACTGTAACCGGGAGCAATGCTCGCCATTCATGTACAAATGTACATGTACGTCTTTCCTAGTTCCTACAGAAAACCAAAAAATACTGAACCGAAAGGCAACAGCACCTGGTGTATGCGCGCATGTGTGTAAGAGAGAGAAGGAAAGAGAGAGAGAGAGAGAGAGAGAGAGAGAGAGAGAGAGAGAGAGAGAGAGAGAGAGAGAGAGAGAGCGCTACTTTTAAAAATCATTATTCAAGAGCTCATAGCCAAAGCCACTCGGTTGTTGGGAAAAGATGGTGAGCAGTGTGCTGACGTTTGGAGCTCAGGGCTGCACTTCATTGTTGGTAAACATTATTATGAACATGGACATTTATGTACATACATGTCCATGTACAATGTACAATGTAGATAATGACACATGTACATGTACATGTAATAATGACAGCACTGGTAGGGTGACTACCAACTAGTACTGGGCCAGACACAGTACTCGATTTGTTCAGACGCCATGATGCATTGCTGGGTTTGTTTAGCTTGTGCTCACCTAGTACATGTACATGATTGTTCTAATAGTAATACTTGTCTGACTCTGCAAAAAACATGCTACTTTTTTAAAATATCAAACAGGGAAATTGAAAGGGTTCTTGTTACATGGAAAGGAAAAGTATGTGAAGAGCGCGAGGAATACAGCATAAACTACATTATGTAAAGAAAAGTACAAAGAAAAAGTGTCTTGCTGTTACTCCGATTTCCCTGCACGAACGTGAAGCGCCCAGATGATCTGATGATCGCGTTGTGCATGAAGCTCCGAGTCGAAGCTGTAAAGACAGTTTAGCTGTCGCTGTCGTTCTCTTCCTGTCCTGATCCTGGACTCCTGTACATGTGTACATGTACATGTACATGTACTGGCACTAGACAACGACTAACCTACACTACAGTCACGTACATGTACATTGTACATGTACGTGACTGTAGTGTAGTGGTACCAAGCTTTTTTTGTTTTGTCAATACGACTGATCACACAGTACAGCATGGTGCTGCGTTCCCAAAAATAAGCAAAACAAAATGGACAAAACACAAACAAGCAACTAGAACACGATAAGCAACAAACGCACAGGATCAGGAGGGAAGCAAGAAATGGCAACAACCACGCGTTAGCGAGATGTGGGCATGGGCTTCCGACACTGCCAGAGTGTGGGATACCTCATTTTGTAGTAAAAAGTACTAAAAACTAGGGCTCAAACGGTCACGGTTTTACCCCTAAGCTAACGGTCGGTTTACCGGTTATGCCCTATAAGTATAACTTAAGCCACGGCAATCCGTATATTTGACTCTACTCATTCAAAAAAATGTACCCTATTCAGTACAACGCACACATGTACACTGTACATTGTACAATCATGTACATTGTCTTGCATGCTCATTCATACTGTACAGTCATACTCTCGCACCAAGAGACCAGAATAAAAATTAATAATGATTATGATATGACCGAGTTGACCATGGTTGACAGCCCAGAAATTGCGTACGGGAGCGACATGTCGACAGCCTGCGAAAGTGCATACTACCGGTAGTAGTAGTACTTTGCAACGACCTGATACTATACTAGTAGTAGTACTTGAAAAATTGACAGAAACGTTTCTGCGTATAAACCGTTATCGTAACCGGTCTGCAACCGGTTAACCGAACTACTCGTTTGAGCCCTGCTGTGCTAATGCTAGAAACTGCAATACTCGTCTAGCTGCTTCAAGTGCTCGCAAGCTTGTTATGTCTGTAGCTGTGGTAATCTAGATCTAGTGTCAGTGATGTCATCGCTTTAGAAAAAACCCCGCGGCGCGATCTAGCCTAGACTAGCTAGCGTCGCCTGGCTGTAGATCTAGTACTAGTACTACTACTAGTACTAGTACTAGTAGTACAAGTACTAGGGAGAAAGGTATAAAAGGCATCATAATCTGCAAGCGATCGCAGATCTTTTGCGGGCCGGGCCGGCCCTCAGCTTGGGGGGCTCGATCGGAGACTTTGTGCGAAACTATTGTGTGCTACTACTACTAGGGTCTTGGGACAGACCTAGTCACCTAGTGTAGTACTATTAGTAGTAGTAGCAGTGCCAGTAGTACTTCCACTGGATTTGTGAATGCGTCTTCACTAAAAATTAATAATTGCAATTTTTTGCAACACTCGACTCTGATCTGATGGATTGGTGTTCGCTGAGTACTATAATAATATTACTAGTATTCGAGTTATGGTCGAACCAAGCAATATCCTAGTGAGCTATGCCGGTGTGCATTGCTTGCAAACGGGGACGGAATCGCTAACGTGCTGCAAGTGCAACAATCTGCTACGCTTCGCAGTCCAGTCGAGTTGTGGGTGTCGTCACTGCAAACGATGTTTTGCCGATGCCATCGAGGAATATAGGTGAGTGTTTTCTTTCTAATGCTAGTTTTATGTCTTAGTGTTAGAGCTTCGCTGCATGGACAAAAGGGAGGGCCCCTAGTTCGAGTCCTGGTGGTGGCAGTCAATTTTGTGAAGACTTCCCTGGCCCTCCTCAGCTACTAGTACCTGAAACTTAGGATTTTTTGATTGTGTGTGTGTGTGTGTGTGTGTGTGTGTGTGTGTGTGTGTGTGTGTGTGTGTGTGTGTGTGTGTGTGTGTGTGTGTGTGTGTGTGTGTGTGTGTGTGTGTGTGTGTGTGTGTGTGTGTGTGTGTGTGTGTGTGTGTGTGTGTGTGTGTGTGTGTGTGTGTGTGTGTGTGTGTGTGTGTGTGTGTGTGTGTGTGTGTGTGTGTGTGTGTGTGTGTGTGTGTGTGTGTGTGTGTGTGTGTGTGTGTGTGTGTGTGTGTGTGTGTGTGTGTGTGTGTGTGTGTGTGTGTGTGTGTGTGTGTGTGTGTGTGTGTGTGTGTGTGTGTGTGTGTGTGTGTGTGTGTGTGTGTGTGTGTGTGTGTGTGTGTGTGTGTGTGTGTGTGTGTGTGTGTGTGTGTGTGTGTGTGTGTGTGTGTGTGTGTGTGTGTGTGTGTGTGTGTGTGTGTGTGTGTGTGTGTGTGTGTGTGTGTGTGTGTGTGTGTGTGTGTGTGTGTGTGTGTGTGTGTGTGTGTGTGTGTGTGTGTGTGTGTGTGTGTGTGTGTGTGTGTGTGTGTGTGTGTGTGTGTGTGTGTGTGTGTGTGTGTGTGTGTGTGTGTGTGTGTGTGTGTGTGTGTGTGTGTGTGTGTGTGTGTGTGTGTGTGTGTGTGTGTGTGTGTGTGTGTGTGTGTGTGTGTGTGTGTGTGTGTGTGTGTGTGTGTGTGTGTGTGTGTGTGTGTGTGTGTGTGTGTGTGTGTGTGTGTGTGTGTGTGTGTGTGTGTGTGTGTGTGTGTGTGTGTGTGTGTGTGTGTGTGTGTGTGTGTGTGTGTGTGTGTGTGTGTGTGTGTGTGTGTGTGTGTGTGTGTGTGTGTGTGTGTGTGTGTGTGTGTGTGTGTGTGTGTGTGTGTGTGTGTGTGTGTGTGTGTGTGTGTGTGTGTGTGTGTAGCGATATCAGACGAAAAATGTTACTTGAAACCAGAGGAATGAGTGATATACCAATCGAATCAGTATCCAAAACGCTCCGTACTGGTCAAATTTTAGGTGAATCCAAGCTATGGAAGCGGTATTTATACGCCCTCGAAGTAGGATGACAGGCACCCTCCATTGTCGTGCTGAGGGATGCACCACTGCATACAAACAGCAAGAATCGATGGCACAAAAGCCGTCAACTTGCCCAGTGCGTCATGAGCGGTTGCCATGGGGAACAAAGTGCAGTGCTGAGGGAAAGTGCAAAAATTACGACGAATCCGTACTCCAAGCAACAAAATTAATTAGTTCGTCTCGCCATGGACGGCAAAGGACAACACCTTGTCGGAATCAAGCATTTTTGTTTCTCTATCGCAAAGCTACTAATGTAGTATCGAACAACTACGCCAGTGAGAATCCAGGAACATTGGGACGTGTTTTGTACAGTTATTTTCATCGTTCACCTTGCTCTGTTCCAAGACCAGTCCATTCGATATCGTGTCGATTTGGTTTACCTCGAGCTGCTTAGCCAGAGATGATCCAACGCCAAAATCACGTTGTTCCTTTGGGCCTCTCATCAGAACTGAAACCACTACTTGAACACGCACGTAGACCACTCATATGTACCCTGTTCACATAGGTGCGCACAAAAAGATCAAAAAACTATGGTGCGCAAGCAAGCACGGCGACCAAACTTTGCAAGAAACTAAATTCAAGGACGCGGAAGACGATGGTGAGCGAATCCAAGGCGTGCACCGATGCGCAGGGACCGGAAAAGCCAAACGAAAATAACCTACTTTGGCTCAACGGCAGCTTCGCGAAAACACAACGCAAATTGCTAGTTCAAACTCTGAACAGGGGCTTTCTCTTTGCTCTTCGCCTTCTTCCTCTCCAAACATTTCAAAAACAAGCTTGGGCTGCTGTACGAGTCCATGGAAGTATGCTGCTTGGACGCCCACGCGATTTTTTCAGCCTGGTGCAGGATCACGGTCGTGTGCCACGCGTGACTGTAGCTGGTATGGTCAGCCCTGCGACACGATTTTAGGGCGATTACGTAACCACTCTGACATCCCTAGTGTGTGTGTGTGTGTGTGTGTGTGTGTGAGTAGTGAGTTGTGAGTAGCAGAGTAGTGCTGCGGGATTTGTTGTGTTGCAGTGTGACACAGCACAAACATACTTATACACACACGCAGCGCACACGGGTGTGACCTATTAGCGCACTAGTAGTACTAGTAGTAGTGCTATAGTATACACTGGAAGTACAACCCTAGTCACTAGTGAAGTGGCGCTTGTACCTGTACTTGAAAGCCGCCGGCACAAGTGCTTTCTTGAACAAAAAAGTTGAAGAGCTGGGACCGCAGTAAAGTTCTAGACACTACAGTACACTGTAGTGTTAGATAAGATACATGTACACTTCACTTACCCCTGGAATGCTGTACACTTCAGTTCTGGAGCTGTTAAGGGCTTGTTGATCAGGTTAGTGTTGTATACAATCATGTACTTCGAAGTACTGTGTACTGTTCTCTGACCAGCGTGCTACTTGTAATAATATGCTGACAGTGGATGAGTCATCCTACCAATTTTGGTGCTGTCAGCCTGTCATGCGTGTGTGCAATCTTTCTATCACGTGAAAAATATACATAATAATTAATTGAGGAAATATTGCGCCACTGTGCCAGCGTAGCATTCAGGTGTGATTGCCCAACCTGCGTGAATGCAGCTCTCGCCCAGTGGCTTCTAGATTCGGCCAACAGTTTTGTTTGGTGGTGATTTCTCAATCTAGCTGGATGCAGGGAGCAATGCTTGGTGAAAGAACGGGAAATATTACTGAATCGTATTGTGTGAAGGGATGGGGTAATCCTAATGTGCCTGCCCTGGCTTGAGCAGTCACATCATGGCAGTGTTTTAGTGATGCAACAGTGATTGTAATGAGATGATGGAACTTCCGGAGACGACGACTGTTTGAGAGCATATTTTCAGTATAGTGTCATGTATGGCGTAATCAGATGCAATAATTATGTCATCATGAGTCGACGACTGAATTGACCTGCAGGAGAGTGTATTCTACCCAGTAGATAGTAGCATCATGAGTGACGTAACCAGATAAGAAGATAATGATGTAATCTGAGGAGACTATTAAATTTTATTACTAGTGTACGTGGCAAGGCGGAATGGTGGCTGCAGGCATGGTGATGAGGTCACTGCATGCGGCGGATCTGTTGCCGGTAGTATGTGTGTGTGTGTGTGTGTGTGTGTGTGTGTGTGTGTGTGTGTGGGTGGGTGTGTGTGTGTGTGTGTGTGTGTGTGTGTGTGATGTGCTCCCAACATTCATCTGTAACTGAGCTATAACGGGCTCGTGTGGTGACAGGTGACGCAATCAAGTTGGGCTGCTATGAATGACGTGACTTGATTTCGCGTAATGTTCTGGGAAAAATCTCGAATGAAAAAGAATTTTCCTGGAATGTCCACGGTCATGTGACATGCTGGTCATACTATTATGGTGTGAGCTGAAGGCTGGTAAGAAATGATTGACTATTATGCTATGCTCATGCAACGCCATCATGTCAGGTGTTTTCATGGCTCTGTCCGGTAACGTTGTTCACAAGATCATGTGTAAGCAGTGTCGTGACTGCAGTCAGGTGTTAAGCAGCTATGGTACGATGCAGACAGACGTGTTGGCGTCATCCGTAATGATTCGACTCGGTTAGGTGATAGGTCAGTCAGTGTGCACATGGTGTGTATGCATTGACACTGCCCATCCTAGCCTGGACAATATGGTACCAACTATGGAGGGGTTAGACGGCTTTCCCTCTCTCCCGATTCAGCCATGCAAGGAGGTTTTCTTTTCATGACCTCTGTAATCCTACCGACTGTTCCTGTAACTCTACCAAACCATATAAAACCAGGCAAACGCTTTAGAATGGCGCCAGTCCCGTATGGGTTGTGACTCTTGCTTTTTGTCCGGTGACAGTGACAGCGGCAAGAGGTGTGATGTGCGCATTTGAGGGTGTTCTAGCGTAGGCTAGCGCTTTCTCCAGCGTGCACGAGTACGTTTTGCTGATGTGTGCTTGGTCATAGTTATGATCATGCGTACAGGTCAGCTATACTGACTTGTCAAGTATCGTTGCATGGATCCAATCCTGTCATGATTACATGCACACAGTGCTACTATGTTTGGGGGGTAGACTGGAGACATATGTCAGCAGTTGACAGCTGGACGCTCCCTCTGATCTGACGTATCAATGAGCTGCTGCTCAACTGTGGGTGGAGCCGCACTCTCCTCCCGTTCCATGTGTGGAAAAATATATTCCTCAGACGGCATTCTGGCGGCCTTGACGAGCATAGACCAGGAGGGCAGATTCTCATGGTCCCAGAGCTTACACCATTGCCTTAATTGGAGTCCAAATGAGAAGCCGTGTCACCCAGGGCGTAGACTTCATTGGCGTGTTTTTTCTCTCCGTCTGTCTCGTCCCACCTCTACATAATGTAGCAACTCACGATCTCCCAAGGCTAGTGCCTAGTGGTGGCTCAGTCTTGTTGCGTCTGTTATGTGAGAAATATCCGAGGTTCTGGTCTGAGCCATGGTTGATGTCCTTCCAACTGATGCATTCATCATTCAAGGGACAAGGAGAGAGATTGGGGGTGGGGGGGGGGGGAGTGACAGGATGAATGGAGGGGAAAGAAGGAAGAGAGAGAGAGAGAGAGAGAGAGAGAGAGAGGGGAGAGATAAAATACAGGGAGAGAAGATTTGTTTTGGCGGATGATTGTCTTTGCGTGAATCTCGGAGTACCAACAAGAACTTGCTTCACTCTGTTCTTCTGGGTGTATGTGTGCGGGGGGGGGGGGGTAGGTGCGTGTGCGTGTGGAGAGAGAGAGAGAGAGAAAGGGTGACAGTGAAAGAAAAACGAACGAAATAATGAAAATGAGATATCCTGTAGAGTTCTGAGACAAGTTCGAAACTGTAGCCTGCATGGAGAGTAGAATGAGTGAGTGCAGGCCGATGCTCAGGCCACCCGGCAGAGCTGGTGTGTAGTGTGTAACTCGGGTGAACCTATGGTGGTCAGGGTAGCCGAGTGTGTGCCGAGGATTGCGAGAAACTAGAGTGGCAACTTCTCCATGGAGATGAGACATGGGTAAGTTGCCACTCTTAGACTCGTGTCTCACCTCCAGGAGGAAGTATACAGCAGCCATACTGGTCGAAATTTAAAAAAAAAAGCGAAATTAAAACAGAAATAAACTAGAGTGGGAATACCCGATAATAATGTGCAGAATCAGAATGAATTGAAGGAGATCAGGAAAATAACACCAATAATGGCAATATGCATATGCAAATGTAGATGTCGAAGGCAAAAAAACAGAATTAAATTGAGATTGGAAAATGATCATACACGACACACATGGGGAATATGAATGCAGATGAGAGATTGCTGAACACGAGAACTGACAGCACTGCATACTCATGCAATCGACGAACTGATGTCGCAAGCCTTTTCCGAAATGTTCTATTTGCACCTTTCCCTCAAACTAGTGAACGCACTACTTATGATATTCCGTTCTCAAGCTCGCTTAGAGCTAAAGTACTAGCAACTGTAATCCTATCCATGGAGCCCTGGAGCTCACATTGCCAGACCCAGTTACACTACTGGAAATACAGACCGCTGCAGCACTCGAGCACGAAAACCAGGGATCGGATTTCGGTTGCCACCACCCCCGTAATAGCGAACATAGCACATTCTCTCATTCGTACGGCACACCCATACTGAGTTTGCACTGACGTCCTTTTTTCTGTTCTGCCCTGGGTCTTGTCGCATTGCAGGAAGTCTGGAAGGAGAGTCGAGGAAACAGGGGAGCTGATATGTTCAGTGTGTACTGGTCCTATAGATCCTGATGAGAGTTTCGAGGACTTGTTTGCCCGCAAAGAAGTAAACGAACTGAGGATAGCATGCGCGGGAGAGAGTCTCGGCTGCCAGTGGATAGGGAAAGTGGTGGATTATGAGGTAAGCCATTCGACAATTGTGTGTACGTGTGTGTACGTGTGTGTACGTGTGTGTACATGTGTATGTGTGTGTGTGTTTGTGTGCATGTGTGTGGTGTCTTTGTGTCTTTGTGTCTGTCTTTGAGTATGCATACTTGTACTATCATGCATTACTGAAAACTGGCATGCACAGGATCTGTAGTTCTACAGGGTGTTTAGCACGTGACTGATATTCTGCCCGACAAATTCCGCTGCCTACACGCACTTTCAGCCCTGTGCTGTATGGGTATGCTGGACTCGCCACACGGAAGCCATGGTCTGATGATGACGGGCATTGTTCTTCTCCTTCTGTTGCTGCTGCTCCTGCTGCTGCTTCTGCTGCTGCTTCTCCTACTGCTGCTGCTGCTGCTGCTGTTGCTCCTACTGCTGCTGCTGCTGCTTCTGCTGCTGCCGTGCTCCTTACAGAGCCACTACCAGGTATGCCAGTATGTCAGTGTGCCTTGCAGCGAGTCTCGTTGCGATGCCATGGTACCTCGCAACCAGCTATCCCACCATAGGAGTACAGCATGTGCAGGCAGGATGGTGGCCTGCCAGTTCTGCAATGCCAGCATGCGCTATAGAGAGTTAGACGAGCATTTGAAGGAGAAATGCACAAAAATAACGCTCACGTGCCCAAACACGTGTGGTGCCATGGATTTTACAAGAGATGAGGTAAGCCTTGGGAAGTATATGTGTGTGTGTGTGTGTGTGTGTGTGTGTGTGTGTGTGTGTGTGTGTGTGTGCGTGTGTGTGTGTGGGGGGGGGGTGCGTGTGTGGGTATGTGTATTCGTATATGTAAAAGTTCTTCATTGTTGAAATTGACAGGCGCGTAGCAGCGCCGTTGGAGGTGCTCCGGCGGGAGGGTGTCCCCCGGGAAAATTTTGAAACTAGGGTGCAAAATCCTTCATTCTGGGCACTTTTGGCATTGTGTTTATAAGAAAAGTGGTCCGGCCAGAGCTGGCTGGCCGGCCTGGCTCCTACACTAGGGATATCAGCGAACGCACTGCGCAGCCCATCTGCGCAGGTCAGCCTGGCCCATCTACGCGCGGCCGACAAGAAAACTCATGAACACTTTCATTTTTTTGCAAAATAAATCGTGCGAAGAAGATGCACGGAATGGCTGAAAACTAGGCTGAGGAATAGTAGCATCCAGAGACTCTCAAACAAATTCATGGTCCATCGCTTCTGACAATGGCAGCGAAGACATCAGGGAGCTGATTGCAGCAACTCTCTACCAAGCGCGATGCTGGTTACTCACCAGGGCAGGGCGCTTCCATCGCGCAAGAAATGGCCGCGAACGAGAAATGGAAGTCCGATTTTGGAACGATCCAACCAGGGAAATTCCTTGAAAATTGGCCTGAACACCTCTCATACTGGTGTTTCACGATGTGCAAACTTTCAGAGAAATCGACCGGGGAGAACGTGGTGAGTTCGTGGGTCCTCGAGTATCGCGTATGATTTGAATGGTCGCGGGGACAGAAGAACAGTAATTTTACGACTCCCAGCGGTGCAAACAGACCGCGGCTATGTTTTCTCTGTCGGCCACGATCACGTTCAAAAAATCGATGACGCAATGCATGCGCAGAGGCCTGCGCAGTGCGTTCGCTGACATCCCTACCTACACCCCTGGTTCAAGATCTATTTGTGCTTCCACGTGTCATTTTTGTCTTCAGCTTTGCTTTTGTCTTTTGCGTGTGTTGACGTGCCTGTGTGTCTGTTTGTTAGTGTGCCTGTTAGCACTTGGCTTCTGCATGTATGCATGTGCGTGCGTGCATGTATGCATGTGCGTGGGTGCATGTATGCATGTGCGTGGGTGCATGTATGCATGTGCGTGCGTGCATGTATGCATGTGCGTGCGTGCATGTATGCATGTGCGTGGGTGCATGTATGCATGTGCTTGCGTGCATGTATGCATGTGCTTGAGTGCATGTATTGTGTGTACAGTATATGCATGCACATACTTTCTACTGTGCTCATATGATTGAGGTTGTTACATGGTATTTATCTCCCATGTGATTGCTGTGTTGTACATAGATCGTGGACCATCGTAAAACATGCCCAATGGAGCAAGTACACTGCTACTATTCCGGGGCGGGATGCACATATTATGTGAGTACAAGTTACGACGCATTGCCATCGTTACCTACTTGCCATCCATGTTTGTGCAAATTTTGTGCTGCTGCTGCTGCTGGTGGTGGCAATGTGGGTGAGGATCATGCAGCTGCAGGTCTATCAGTTGCTGCTGCCCACATTGTTGCTGCTGATGTTGCGGCTGCTGCTGGTGTTGCTGCTGCTGTTGCGGCTGTTGCTTCTGCTGCTGTTGCTGCTGCTGATGCTTCTGCTGCTGTTGCTGCTGCTGCTGCTGCTGCTGCTGTTGTTGCTGCGGCTGCTGTTGATTGTATCTCGATTGGCTGACCAAAACGGACAAACGTCCTGTTTCCGCTGCAGCTATTGCTGCTGGTTCTGCATTTTTGCTTTTTCTAAAAACGCTATGTGGTCTACCGTGATAGGAAAACTTACTGGAGTCTTCAAGGGCCCGAATCACAGCACTACTGAATGCAATAGTGCTCGTGAGCCGTTCAGCAGCGCTATGCGATTCGTCATTGTTCTCTTTGCTTGTGTTGCAATGTTGTGTGTATGGCAGGGTCCCCGTAACACATTGCCAGTTCATCACGACAACAATGGGGCCTATCATATGCAGCTGGTGTACCTTAACGGAGAAACGGTTAAGCAAACCTGCGCCAAGCTCACCAGCGAAAACACTAAATTACGCAAGGAAAACAAAGACCTCAATGACAAGGTCGTGATGCTAACGGAACAGCAAGCGCAGATGCAAAAGAAGTATGAGGCGGTGGAGTGGATGGTTGAAATGCTCTCCAAGAAGTTTTCCGCTATAGAAGGTAAGTTACTGCTAGTATACACTATATCCGGACATGCACTTAACTGGAAGGTTCTCGTATTGCAGCGATAATCAGACAGCGGCAGACACCCACAATACAGTATGATTATTATAATTATCGAGTTAGACCTGTCATGTGTGTGTGTGTGTGTGTGCGTGCGTGCGTGCGTGTGTGTGTGTGTGTGCGCGCACGTGTGTGTGTGTATGTGTGTGTGTATGTGTGTATGTGTGTGTGTGTGTGTGTGTGTGTGTGTGTGTGTGTGTGTGTGTGTGTGTGTGTGTGTGTGTGCGTGTGCGCACGTGTGTGTGTGTGTGTGTGTGTATGTGTGTGTGTGTGCGTGTGTATGTTGGTCACTGCACGGGTCCAGTTCTTCCTTAGCTATTAATTTATGCTACTAGTAATGCAGTCAGGACAGTGATCAGAGTCATCAGAAGGTGTTTAAGGGCTAAGGGCACGGGCAGCAATTTAAACTACCATTTACTCATCGGCAGTGTCCGCTGAAAGTTGTCAGAATCTAGAGCCAAAACCAGTGTATGTTATTGATCTACAAGGTACCTGTGTCACAGAGTGGTGTCTGGTTGCTGGCATAGTGCCCATGGTGTGTCCCACGCCCGCCCTGTGGATTGTGGTGGAAAGGAGACAGGAGTAGTACTAGTACTCAGCACGAAGTGTGTGTCAGTGATCCGAGATACATTTCAAGGAACACAAGATATTCATTGGTTTGAGGAAAGATGCAAACGGGGAAACGTCTGAAGAAAGTCAGAAGGCGCTTACGGATGTCACACGATGATGCTGCTTTTTTTCTGATTCAAACTCGTTCTGAGCACAACTTGTGTAGCATGTATTGCTCGCCACTTTCCAACATCATCATCATATCACTGCTATTCATCCTGTCCACTGCACTGGACATAGTAGCCTCGAGCATGCTTCATTACACTAGTAAAGTGCGTATGTTAGGGTTGATTCACCCCCTGTGTAGTCCGTATTGTCTAATGGGTGTGTGTGTGTGTGTGTTGTGGTTGTGTATGTGTATGTGTATGTGTATATATGTGTATGTGTGTGTGTATGTGTGTGTGTGTACGTGTGTGCTCATATCTGTAAACAGGTTCTTCAAGTTCTTCAAGTCTAGCACTAGCCGGCAGCAAATCACTTAGCCCGGTGAACGAAGCTCCTGCAGGCCTGCATCAATATGCTGCTGCGCGTACATCTCAGCACCTGCCGGTATCCTTTCCCACCGAACAGCTTGCCCTGACGACCAGTTCAATTGCGGACTCGTCCGGTGTGGCTACATCGACCAAAGACTCCGTTGTGTCTCGCTTTGACCACAGTAAACACAGCAGTGAGCTAGAGCACCTCAAGTACACAACTAACTCAATCATGGATCATTTGCAGCGCGTTGATAAGTAAGTCTCAGTACATGCCCTTATGTACGTCTGCCAGGATTGACGCCTAGGGTGCGTAGCTACGAAGCCATGACCTATGAAGGTGCAGAAAGCCTCACCCCTCGTGCAGAGTTCATATCCAGTAGGCAGGGTTACATACTTGTCGATAAGCGCCTGGGGCTGGTGTCGCCAGAACAGCAGATTTCAACCTTCTCCGCTTGGTCTGCTTACAATGGTCTAGGGTTCATCATTCCTTTGTTTGGTCTTTTTGTTTGTGTGTGTTTGCGTGTGCGTGCGTGTGTCAAAATATACTCTAAAATAGGCCATGGGAAGCTTGGTTGCTTCTCCAAGTTTCCCCACGAAAGAAAAAAAATCCCATCAGACATTGTGCATTGAGGACAATTCCAGTTGCTCCCCCTTCTTTTAATTTCTTATTTCGGCCAGTATGTCTGGTCTGTATACTATGTCTAAGGGGTGAGCCATGATCAAGTTGCCATAGTGGGGTGTGAGGTCCCCACTTTAAACATCCTCTCAGATCCTCATCTGCTGCTTGTGTTTCTTAACACAGTTATTGAGTAGCCGGTAGTAGCAGTACGGACATGGCAACTTTCGTATTATACATTTATCTAACTGTTTTATCATCAATCACCATACCACAACTGCGCTCTCCAGCCAACCTTGAAAAGTTGCCACTGCACACCATCAGCAAAGCGACACATCGGTTGGTATTGAGCTTTGACGATGGCGTGCTGTGGAAACGTCGTGCCGAGGTCGGCTGAAGAGCGCAGTTATCGTGCAGTGGATGATGACAAAATCTGTACAGAGGTGAATGCTGCTGCTCACCTGTTATCTAACTGTTGCGTTTGTTGATGTGTTTCTCTTCTTTGTATATAGCTCTATAGCCATGCAGAATGTTCAACTAGCCGACATGATGATTCGCCAAGACCTGATTGAAGTCAAAGGTTGTGAAGGCATTCTCGTCTGGCGCATCTCCAATGTGGCACGGCGGCTGCAGGAAGCGGTGTCCGGTCGCACTCCATCTCTCTATTCTCCGCCGTTCCATTCGTCACAGTCGGGATACCGAATGTGTGCGCGTGTTTATCTGAACGGGGATGGCTCCGGAAAGAACACGCACGTCAGTTTGTTCTTTGTTATCATGCGCAGTGAATTTGACTCGTTGCTGCCGTGGCCCTTCCAGCAGAAAGTCAAACTGTCCCTTCTCGACCAGACTCCGTTCCTCAGTGCCGGCGAAAAGCAAGACCTCGTGGAGGTGTTCCGCCCGGACATCCGTAGCTCCTCCTTTCAAAGACCAACCACCGAAATGAACATTGCCACCGGCTGTCCTAAGCTGGCGCCAAAATCGTACCTGGCATCGGATCGGTATGTACGTGATGACACGCTGTTCATAAAGATTGAAGTCAGCCAGCGTGGTATCAACCCTCCGGATAAGCCAATGCTGGACTCTACCACTGCCTAGGCAAGATACCGCATGATTTCCTGTCACCGGTGTCGGTGGTGGTTAGCTGCAATTGTGCTCGGCGCTGCGCCTCTGGTCTCTCACTACCAGCCAGGCACACCGGCACACACACACACACACACACGCACGCACGCACACACACACACAAAGACTTGACGCAACACGTACATGTGTACATGAGCGTGCAAGCGTGTGTTGCCGCCTGCAGACGCGGCACTCTCCCGCGGGGTGGATGTCCAACCTGTCCAACTGCTCGGTTTGTGCGCTCCCTCTCTTTGAACATTGACATGGTCAGAATGCCATCAGGCTGGTATCTCTGAGCGGCTGATGTCAACAGCCATCTGAGTGATCCGTGCCATGCTCGTTTGTCCTATTGTTAGTTACCTCCTCCTATACGTTGCACAACCTTTTCCAAGCTGGCCTGCATGCGCCCTCGTACTCACCTATTGTCACCTCTTGTCTCCTTTTGTTCCGTTGGCCTGGGTAGCTACTTTGTACTTTCCCGCCCATATCTGCCATAGCTACCCAGGCCCCTATATCTTGCCACCCTCACTCGATCTCTCTCTCTTCCACAATGTAATCGTTTCGTTCGTCTTTGTCTCCGTCTCTTCGTCTATAGTAAATGTTGTTCCACCTACCTGTTCCCGTTATCCCTGGTGTCTGGAGAGTAATCGTCCTTGTTCCTACCCAACGCTAGTAACAATGTCTCCTCTCACCAAGCGCCATGTTTCTGTTGACTTGCCGGTACTCCATTTCCGTTTGCCGGAGGTGTAATCCATCTTCCGCCCATCGGCTCTCATGGACTAGTATGATTATCCTATCCTGCAGGCGTATCCTGCTGGAGTATCCTGCTGGAGTTCTAACAATAACTTATGTTACTCGTAACTCTACCCTTTTTGGACATCACATTATAATCATGAATATGAAAAGCATAGATTATCCATCCAACTTCTAAACAAGATCAGTATCGTGAAGAGTAAAGTGCAGTTCTAACTTTTAATTAATGACCCGAACACTTGTGGCGGCTTGTGCATCTACTCGAAGTCATTGTAGTTTTACTGTTGGGCATGCCCTAGAATTTATCGCCTGGTCTCGCTTTGATGACGGCTGTTGATTGTGCCACTTCTGCTGTAGTTTGCACAGCAATTATTGTGTTTCTATTTAAGTCGTTTATACTTCGGAGCTCATTATCGACTGTGATATCTGTCATTACATTATAACCCACTGTACTAGATGTAAAAGCTCCGGTCACACTCACTCCACTTATTTATCATCTCCCCTGTGACAGTTCAATAACATCACCAAATACAGGTGCTACATATCTATTACTATGCTATCTGAAGTGCAAGTACGGTATTACAATGGAGTTGTGTTTGAGTTTGCCCACTTGCACTGGCACCGCTGTTGATAGCGGAGTTTTGTGTTTGTGTGTGCGTGTGTGTGTGTGTGTGTGTGTGTGTGTGTGTGTGTGCGCGCGTGTGCGTGTGTGGTGTGTGTAATACTATGTTGGGGGTCGATTCACATGGCTTCGCCAGTTGTATGGATTAGACAGTTATCTGGCGCAAGTCTTGATCTGTCTCATTCAGATCTTGTTTGCTATCGTTGCTATAAGAGAAAATTTGTGGATGCACATCCAGTGTACTCAGTATTTGCAGAATTGTGTGCGTTCTCTTGCGACGGGCGTATACATGGTACATGGTGTGTATGTGCGGAGTGTGTTATGCGTGTGTGTCCGTGTGTGTGTGCACGTGTGAAAAATAGGGATTCACTGGCCAGAAAATAATCACTTCAAACAGCTGTGTGGTGGATACCAGGCTAAATATAGTGGCGGTCAATTCATCAGCCTTGCAAGCTGTTGAATGGTGTAATCCCAGCACAAGTTGCTATGTCTAACATAGCTGTTCGCTATCATCGCTTCCGCGATGGGCATGTCTGAGGTGTACGTCTGTGTGTGTGTGGGTATGTGTGTGTGTGTGTGCAGAGTGTGTTCGTGTGTGTGCCTGTGCGGATAATGGCTTTTGAACTATCTCTTTGTGTACTGATCTGAATGGCGAGGCTCAAATTTGAATAGCGAGCTGACAACCATCTGTATGCTTCGATAACTGTGGTGAATTGCATGGCTGATAGCTGGACGTGGTCGGTCAAGGCTGTGCTTGATCATGCTTGGGTCGATGATAGTTCAATACAATGTATTGTTCATGTAAATCTGGGTACAGCATTACTTCGAAGTACTATTAATTTTTTTATTGTTGTTCTGATGTTGGAGAGTTGGTCTTCACACTCAATCTTCACGGGGCTAGCTGTTTCTGCATGCTATCCTAATGGGTTAGCTAATGTAAGCCAGGCCCGCGCCGCCGGAACCAGTCCGGTTTGTCAGGTCATTACTGGACCAACGTTTCTCCCACCAGCACGTGTTTATGATTACAGTGAACTTCGCTACTAACGACTGCGGATATAACGACAATTCGCGAATAACGACAGAATTTCCATGCCCAGAGCAAAGTCCCATCCCACTGTAATACATAATATGTATTACATTATATTATAATGAGACTTCGGGTATAACGACACTTCGCGAATAAGGACACCTTTTTGATGCCCCGCCGAGTGTCGTTAAAGGGGAAGTTAAGGCAAAAACTAAAATTTCACCAGTTGTAGTCTTCGGGGTGCTGAGTCGAATGGTCGTGGTCCGAGGAAGCTGAGACGCTCCCTTCCTACTTGAATCCCAATCGAACTCGCGCACTTCCACCGAAACTGGGTGACTGCGCCCTACTAGATGGGGATTTGTATGCAAAATGTCACTAAAAGCGCCATTTCGTTCTTATAAAAGCACGGATGACCGCGATTGGCCCATATGTTGTAGTCTTTTGGACGCTGAGTCGACTGGTTTTGGTCCGAAAAGGCTGCGATGCAGCGTTCCTCCTTTATTCCCAATCGAACATGGTTGAACAAGCGGTCACGTGCTCCTGCGTACGCCAGTCACCTGGTCACCGTGCCTGCTGGGTACAACTTACTAGCCTGTTTGACCTTTTTTGGGTGCAGTCCTGTCACTCGAGTTGAACCTTGGTGTGAAAGTTGTCGCCTGCTGGCGTGGTGACCAGGTGATTTGGGCACCCAGGAGCACGTGACCGCTTCTTCAACCATGTTCGATTGGGAATAAAGGAGGAACGCTGCATCGCAGCCTTTTCGGACCAAAACCAGTCGACTCAGCGTCCAAAAGACTACAACATATGGGCCAATCGCGGTCATCCGTGCTTTTATAAGAACGAAATGGCGCTTTTAGTGACATTTTGCATACAAATCCCCATCTAGTAGGGCGCAGTCACCCAGTTTCGGTGGAAGTGCGCGAGTTCGATTGGGATTCAGGTAGGACGGGAGCGTCTCAGCTTTCTCGGACCAAGACCATTCGACTCAGCACCCCGAAGACTACAACTAGTGAAATTTTAATTTTTGCCTTAACTTCCCCTTTAAGCGAAGTTGACTGTACATTAATTCTTACTACTGTGAAGAGAACAATGAACATGCACCTGGCTGCATACACATCATTTTAAATTAATAAAACACTAAAATGGACTCCGATGGAGAGCCAAGGATGTGCTAGAGATGTGCTAGAGCTGTTAGCCAGTTAGTTGTAGAACGTCAGTACCGTCGGTCAGTGGCGTGCAATGTTATCGCATGAGCTGATTGTTTAGTAACTTGTGGTGTTAGTGGACATTATAGCGTAACTTGTAGTTTCTTGGTCCTTTTTTGTTAAACTATAAAACACTGAAAGGCCATATTACTGCCGGACCAATCAAAAACTACTTCCAGCAGTCCTGCGGAGATTTTTTTAAAACTTCGGCCACTATGACTACTACAGTATTCACCTCGTTTTGGGGGTTAGGAAGTCGCCACACTGGGGTGGTGAACCCGCCTTTCGGCACTGGGGATACAGCTCGCTCGACTCTGCCTCTACTGAATGAAGAGGGGATCAGAGTGAACCTTCTTCTATATTACTCACCCGGACGTCATGTACATGTACTTGACCGTGATATCAAGAAGGGAGTGGTGAAAAGCCGGGTTTCACGCCTCCAAGGCTCTTCTCCAAAGTCACAATATCAAGGGGATCGAGTCCCTGCCCCTGGCTGCTCTCGTGTTTTTGCTGCCCTGCACACAATACTCGTACTCTGGCTACAAAGTGCAGTTTCAAGTAAATGTAACTAGTTCACACCCTGGCCTGATTCGCACCTCCATATCCAGTGGCAGTAGGACCAGTACAGTACAGGGCACGCACCATGTACCTGATGTCCTGCAGCAGCATGAGGTGCTATTTCCTGGGGGGGGGGGGGGGGGGGGAGAGGAAGAGAGAAGAAGGAGAAAGGACGCTTTGCTCCCTCAGTTTGTCGCGTGCCTTTGACGTTGTAACGTTGGCTACCACTTTGTTACGAGTGTATTCACTAGAGAATGCAGTTGATCAACCACTTCACTTGTCCAGATATACATGTACATGTACAAGTGCAGGTAGTGCATCATTTTCAAGTATTATTCACGCCATGATTCAATCTTTCACCACTGCCGTCTTTCGCACCTTTTAATTAATGGTCACTTGAGATACGTACATGTATTATTCATGCCATGAAGCAATCTCTCACAACTGCTGTCATTTACACCTTTGATTTGTGGGTAGATGAACCAATATCCAGATTTTCTCATCACTGTTTTCGGATGATCGGAAACTCGGAGTAAAAACACTTTTTCCATCCTCTTATTCCTGCTGCAGTACATCATTAATATTCATTATACGCAGTAAAGTTAGCCGGATTTGCGGTCGTATCACCTGACATGACGTGTTTAGGAACACATCAAGCAAATACATTCGCATCGGCGGGCCAACACTTCGCCCATATAATATTATAACGGTCCGTTCAATTCTTCCAATCATACAATAGTTGTTCGTTGTTCTATTGAGGCTCTCATGGAAAGTGTAAAACGTCACTGAGTTTTGGAGATTGAGAGAACAGGTAAGGACTAAGCTATTTTAGTTGGGTTGGGCCTGAAGAGTATTGTCACCGCTCCTCCTTTTCCGGAAAGGCTTAGTATGTGCGGTTCTCCATGCTGCTAAGCAGTACACAGTTACCAAGGGACCGCATTATGTTAACGCTAAACGGCTTAGCTAGCTCCACTGTCACACATCACATCATGACTGGCTGTACCAGTGACCGATGAGGTGGCTTGCAAGGAATACTAGTACAGTGTAGTAGCAGCAACATGCGGTGGTCTGGCAGTGTTTAGTTGTGTTACGCACTGTGCCGTGTTGCTGTTATACATGTATGTATAATGTAGTAGATGACTGCACATTAACATTCACATTCACATTCACATGGGTGTCTTTCTAGGGCTTCACAGATCCGCAGCTAAAGCCAATAATTGTTTCAGTACATGTGTCTGGTTTCTTAGATTTGAAATGTTCATGAGCGTCCGAGTTATCTAACATGTGCGTCCTCAGCTGAGATTTGGTAGCGAGCACGAATCGAAGTGCAGACCACCGTGCGTGTAAGTCGTTATGTCAGCTTCCTTTTGCATTTTATAACTTTGTCTTGTTTGAGCTTGATTTCAGAGATCCTGTTAGATAGAAATGGTCTGTTTGCATATCCGCAGCTGTTTTGTTTTCAATGATACTGCTGAGTGAGCATTGCGTCTGGACTCTGTTTGTTCTGATGGTGGCCTGTGTGGCTGTGTGTCCAAGGCAAGAGGAGCTGTTGTCTGTGCGTGCCCTGCACACGTACACGTTCCAGCCGTGTGCAATGCATGGTGTTCGTACTATACTAGCCACAATGAACTACGTCATCACTACAATAAACCGTCAGTCTAGTCTATTTTCCTGCAGTGTGCATGCATGTCCACCTGCCACAGCACATACCGGTATTCATGTACAGACAATAAAATACACAATCCTACACATGTACACAGTTGCGAGGGCAAGACGCTCTGATCTTGCCCGAGGTCGTCTGTGATTGTGAACAGTCCACGTCACCTGACATTTGACGTCATGATGTCAGTCAGTTTCGAACTACAGTGAAACCTCGTTAAGAAGAACACTGATACGACAAACTTTCGCTTTAGAAGAACTAGTATTATTTTGTAACTTTATTGGATAGATTACTGTGTATTCACTGGGTACAAAATACCGATAAGAAGAACTCCCGTTATTGCAAACAAATACCACCGGTCCCTTGGTGTTCGTCCTAAAGAGGTTTGACTGTACTAGTACTGAGTATGTTTTTCGATTTTGACAGCATGTTTCAAGGCGAGGACGCGTAGTGCTCCTGACAACCTCGGCTGCTCGGTCGACTTCTGGGATGTTGATAAGTTGATAACCCGGTTGGC